TCGACTTAAAAAGTGATTCTATGCATATTCTCAAAAGGAACCATGTGTCTATCTCGATTCCTTTTAAAAATCCATAGCTAAAATGGGCCTTGAAAAAATATTCTTTTAAAAATTCACAGCTATAATGGGCCTTGAACAAATATTCTTTTTAATTCCACGCCTATAGAAGGCCTTGAAAAATATATTTTAATAAATTCACGTCTATGGGCCTTCCTAAAAATTGAAAACCATGTTTATAACTCTCTTAGCCTTCAATAAATATGTATGTCTAAAATGGCTTTCGAAAATATTCCTACTAAATTTCTATTTACAAACCAGTGAGCGGAGCAGTATAATCGGACGGGGCCGACCATACGATACCCTACACACCTACCATGGAACTCTAACTTTCTGCTGGTGTTTATCCGAGTCTGGACAATATTTCGTGATATTTGCAACTTCTTGCCCTATTAGAGGTCAACACCACTTTTTCCTTTCACTGACATATTTTCCGAATATTACTAATATTCAGTCCTTCTAATTACTTGTCCATATTCCCTTCACCGTGGGTTGTGATGTGATGTTCGGCTTTCAATTGTGGCCTATAGATAGCCGAAAAAAAATAAGTTTTCGGTTCATTTCATCGCAATATTATTATGTGATCATCACCTAAAATTATAGGCGTTGTTCTTGGCGTTCTGGAATCTATATCTCAGTACGTGAGCACCCGTAAATACTTATGTGTAGCACCCACATCGGAATACATACGACCATATAATTCGTATTAATTTAAAGGTCAAGCACTCCTCTTGAGCATAATATCAAATTCTCTGGTCTAGGACCTTCAGGGGCAAATATATACGACGTAGAATACAAATTTTGTAATTTTTCACACAAAATTCAAGGTCCATTTGACCCGCTAAATATTGATCGATCTTTATCAAAACAGGCATACTTATTCTTTGGACCGATCCCCTTCTCCATGCAAAAATTCGCGGTGTTTGACCATAATTACGGCCTCTGGAACGACCTGAAAAACCGACAAAAATAAAGTGTTTGGTTCATTTCATCCCCTAAATATTAACCGATATTTTCAAAAAAATAGGGGTCTTCATTGGCCAGAACCCATTTTACATGCAAAATTTCGTGTTGATGGTCCATAACTGTGGCCTGTATCGTGTTTACAAATTATAATGGACAGACGGACGGACGAACGGACACACATATCTAGATCGACTCAGCTAGTCGAGATATGACGATTGGTATACTTAAAGGTGGATCTAGGACCAATATTTCGCGGCGTTACAAACATTTGGGGCTGCACTAAGCTATAATACCCTGACAACATAGTTGTGTAGGGTATAAAAAATCTTGCACCATATTGTTAAATATAATTTCCTTGGAATTACCTCTCCAGCTATTAGTTCTTGTAATTCTGTTTTTCAAATTAATTTTATAATATCGGAAAGTTCCATATCGCCATTGACATTGGCAATGTAACTACCATGCCGAAGGTGTTAAAGAGCTATAATTCCCTTAATTATATGTTAATTCTCTCAGACAATTTGTAGACACAAAAACACAACCGACACACAGACACACCAGCCAAGTTAATAAACACCTTTACTCATACATTGATAATTTTGTATATCGTTTTCTTAATGATGATATCACTTGTAAGTTTCGTGTAATAATATTTATCTAATCATCTCATTATATTTTTAAACTATGAAATCCTTCTAAAGACTGTCACGGTGTATTTAACGCATGTCATCACGTAAATTCGATATGCATTTAAATATATGTACTAAGGTATGTGGTGAGAGACATTAGGGTGTTCTAAATTAAATATTTAAAAACTATTACAATTTTAATATTAGAGAATTCGGTTCTAAATTAAATTTCCCAAAATTAGTGAAGTTTGAATACCGTAACTTATTTTGAACACTTGTATAGGAGTTTATTTTTCAAAAGAATAACAGCAATTGTGCAGCATGAATTTTATTAGCCTATTAGATAACAAAATAATGTATATAAATATTATTTTGTTTTATCAAAATATTTTTGGACAAAAAAAACGTGACACATCATTCACTTCGAATTACCCGATAACTCGTGTTCTTCCTTTCTTTCTACAAAATTAAAAATTAAATGTAATTGAACCTGAAAAATGTCCATATAGATATCATAATTTTCAATACACTGAAAAAAATGCAAAGAAGGCGCGGATTTTTTTAAGAATAATTCTCGAAGGCCTGGAATATTTTTTCATGGCCTATAGAAGGCGTGGATTATAAAAGAATAATTCTTGAAGGCCTATAGTAGGCGTGGAATATTTTTCCAATAGAAGGCGTGGATTATTTAAAGAATATGTTTTCAAGTCCTATAGATGGAGTGGATTATTTAAAGAATATGTTTTCAAGGCCTATAGAAGGCGTGGATTATTTAAATAATATTTTTCCGGGCCTATAGAAGGCGTGGATTATTTAAAGAATCGTTTTTCAAGGCCTATAGAAAGCGTGGATTATTTAAGATAATTTTTTCAAGGCCTATAGAAGGCGTGGATTATTTAAGATTTTTTTTTCAAGGCCTGTAGAAGGCGTGGATTATTTAAAATTATTTTTTCAAGGCCTATAGAAGGCGTGGATTATTTAAAGATTATTTTTTCAAGGCCTATAGAAGGCGTGGATTATTTAAAGATTATTTTTTCAAGGCCTATAGAAGGCGTGGATTATTTAAAGATTATTTTTTCAAGGCCTATAGAAGGCGTGGATTATTTAAAGATTATTTTTTCAAGGCCTATAGAAGGCGTGGATTATTTAAAGATTATTTTTTCAAGGCCTATAGAAGGCGTGGATTATTTAAAGATTATTTTTTCAAGGCCTATAGAAGGCGTGGATTATTTAAAGATTATTTTTTCAAGGCCTATAGAAGGCGTGGATTATTTAAAGATTATTTTTTCAAGGCCTATAGAAGGCGTGGATTATTTAAAGATTATTTTTTCAAGGCCTATAGAAGGCGTGGATTATTTAAAGATTATTTTTTCAAGGCCTATAGAAGGCATGGATTATTTAAAGATTATTTTTTTCAAGACCTATAGAAGGCGTGGATTATTTAAAGATTATTTTTTCAAGGCCTATAGAAGGCGTGGATTATTTAAAGATTATTTTTTCAAGGCCTATAGAAGGCGTGGATTATTTAAAGATTATTTTTTCAAGGCCTATAGAAGGCGTGGATTATTTAAAGATTATTTTTTCAAGGCCTATAGAAGGCGTGGATTATTTAAAGATTATTTTTTCAAGGCCTATAGAAGGCGTGGATTATTTAAAGATTATTTTTTCAAGGCCTATAGAAGGCGTGGATTATTTAAAGATTATTTTTTCAAGGCCTATAGAAGGCGTGGATTATTTAAAGATTATTTTTTCAAGGCCTATAGAAGGCGTGGATTATTTAAAGATTATTTTTTCAAGGCCTATAGAAGGCGTGGATTATTTAAAGATTATATTTTCAAGGCGTGGATTTTTTAAAGATTATTTTTTCAAGGCCTATAGAAGGCGTGGATTATTTAAAGACTATTTTTTCAAGGCCTATAGAAGGCGTGGATTATTTAAAGATTATTTTTTCAAGGCCTATAGAAGGCGTGGATTATTTAAAGATTATTTTTTCAAGGCCTATAGAAGGCGTGGATTATTTAAAGATTATTTTTTCAAGGCCTATAGAAGGCGTGGATTATTTAAAGATTATTTTTTCAAGGCCTATAGAAGGCGTGGATTATTTAAAGATTATTTTTTCAAGGCCTATAGAAGGCGTGGATTATTTAAAGATTATTTTTTCAAGGCCTATAGAAGGCGTGGATTATTTAAAGATTATTTTTTCAAGGCCTATAGAAGGCGTGGATTATTTAAAGATTATTTTTTCAAGGCCTATAGAAGGCGTGGATTATTTAAAGATTATTTTTTCAAGGCCTATAGAAGGCGTGGATTATTTAAAGATTATTTTTTCAAGGCCTATAGAAGGCGTGGATTATTTAAAGATTATTTTTTCAAGGCCTATAGAAGGCGTGGATTATTTAAAGATTATTTTTTCAAGGCCTATAGAAGGCGTGGATTATTTAAAGATTATTTTTTCAAGGCCTATAGAAGGCGTGGATTATTTAAAGATTATTTTTTCAAGGCCTATAGAAGGCGTGGATTATTTAAAGATTATTTTTTCAAGGCCTATAGAAGGCGTGGATTATTTAAAGAATATTTTTCAAGGCCTATAGAAGGCGTGGATTATTTAAAGTATATTATTCAAGGCCTATAGAAGGCGTGGATTATTTGAAGATTATTTTTTCAAGGCCTATAGAAGGCGTGGATTATTTGAAGATTATTTTTTCAAGGCCTATAGAAGGCGTGGATTATTTGAAGATTATTTTTTCAAGGCCTATAGAAAGCGTTAAATTTTTTTAATACTTTGTAGATTCTTTCCCCACATTATTTTTCCCAGTGCACACACCTAATTATATTATAATCCCTTCGTAAAAATGGAAAAATGCAGACGGGTACTATTTTATAAAAAAAGAAACAATTACATATCAATCACATCACGTCACAAAATGTTCGGCAATCAATCAAATCCCAAAATACAAATAACAACAACAACAATTTAATACAACAAAAAAATAAATCACAAGAAATAATGAAAGGCGACACAAAATGTAATTCGATTCTGAAATTCACAGAAAATTGCGAAAAACTCAAATTAGTTTTTGGCTAAACTTTAAAGTTAACGGTATGAACAATTGTAAAAAGAAAGCACATAAATAAATAATTAAATAATAATTATTACAAGTGAATTTAAAAACAATTAAAAGTGTTAAAAAATAAATCAAGGATATTAAGTAGAAAAAAACACATGAAAATAAAAAATATAAATAATTTTTTTTAAACATAACCTAAAATTATATAATTAAAAAATCATATATTATACAAAACCTAACATATAAAAATCTTTATTTTTCTTATTGTTATCTCCCGCAGTAGTCAAATATCTCAGAGCGACAGTAGTGAGTTCATCACTATCAAACCGCCCAAGAAATCCGCATCATTCTCAAAGTTCACACCGTCAACAACATCCTCGTCACCGCCATCTACACCATCATCTCCGACAGGTGGCGCTGGTCCTTTGGTACGTTATAACGCACGCAGTCCCTGTGATTCATGTGGTCATCATAATATACCCGTCATGTCACATCCCATTTCACCGTTGGCCAAATCTCAGACTAATTTAGAATTAATGGAGACGAACAATGCGCGACAGGCACTGTTGCCGATCAACCACGATTTGCACAGAGAAGAGGCTTCATATTCGTTGCAAGTATCACGGCGACCTTCTGTGTTGTTGCAAGAAATTCTGGGCGGTAAAAAGGAGCATGGAGGTGGTGGAATATTTGCAAGGAAAAAATCTGCACATGCTGGGTAAGTTTGGAAGATGGATTTTTAAATGGGATTTTTAGGAAATTTTGTTTTAATTTTTTCATTTCAGTACCATTAATGGAACCGTTACCGGAAGTACAATAACCATACAGGGTGACAGTGGAGGAGCGAAAAGTTTTCAAGCCAAACAGCAGAAGGAGAAAAATCGACGACAGGGAAAGTAAGTAAATCTGAAAAATTTTAACAAAAGGAAGGAACATTTTGGAAATACCCCATAGGCTTTAAGGCGTGGATTTTTAAAGAATATTTTTAAAAACCCACGCTTTGGTTTTTTAAAGAATATTTTTTAAAGACCTCACGACTTTTAGTCGTGTATTTTTAAAGAATATTTTTAAAAAACCCACGCTTTGGTTTTTTAAAAAATATTTTTTAAAAAATATTTTTTAAAGACCTCACGACTTTTAGTAGTGGATTTTTAAAGAATATTTATCCAACATTTAAATCTGTTTTATTTTTCTGTCTTTCAGTGATGCCATAAGTGCGGCACTTTCAGCCACCTATTGCAAGGTATTGGTTCTGCTAGGTGTCTGTCTGCCAATAACAGAGGTTATTACCGAACAAATACCCACCTATGTGTATCAGGGATTCTATGTTTATCTCTATGTGCTTAGCATAGTGTTTGTAACATTTTTATATGTCTCAGCATTTCGGAATCGTACCCTTATAAATGCCCTGAAAAATTATCGTAAGTATGAAAAAAAATGGAAAATAAAAAGTTGTATTTCAAAATCGTCCTGCCTTTCAGATGAGCGAAATAATGTCCACTTGAAGCATAAGGTCACACATTTTGGTAGCTTCTATTTGAGAGTGGGTGCTATAGCATTCGCGATCGGAACAATGGTATATTCCGGTTTGGAATTTGGGCAATTTTTCGAATTAAATGGCCAACCAGGATGTCGAGATGTTTTTATTGCCATAACACCCCTTTGCCGTATGGTCTTGTGTATAGCCCAGGTGCAGTTTATTTTCTTGAACACCACCTATTTGGATATGGCCCGTCACAAAGTGTTCTCACGTTTCGGTTTGATGCATATGGTCGCGACAAATTTATGTGAATGGTTGTATGTATTGGTGGAAGAAACGAAACATGAAATATTCCATATCGGACATCATGAGGAGGGGTCCGATCATGATACTTTGAGTGGGGCACATGGTGGGGTGGATTGGACAGCGGTAAATGCCACGCTGCATCACACAAAACATATTGGAGAGAATGCCAAGAATAGTACGATTGCAGCGGTTGTTGGGCATGTTTTGCAGAATGTAACAGCGACAGCAGCCACAACGACAGAGGCCGCGGCAGCAGCGGCCCATGGCTGTTCACGAACCACTATTATGGGAGCTTTAGTGCAAGTGAGAAAATTATTCTTTCTTTAATCATTCATTCTTAACTAATTTGGAATTTTGTTCCCCAGAAATTAAGCCCCTTCCTGTTCCCCTGTACCATTGAATATTCCCTGATCTGCGCGGTTATCTTATATGAAATGTGGAAAACCGTAAAATCCATACCAGATATTGATAAATCCCGGAAAAATTCCGTTAAGCCGGTACATCAAAAACCCGCCCACCACTTTTCGGTGGATTGTTCACAATCCCATCGAGGTCTATTTTTTGGCATATTGATCATTGTCATGACCATTATTTCGATGATTATGTATTTTGTGTTGTATATGCAACCGGGTTATGAATTGATTGCCACTCAGGAGGTAACCTTGTGGGAAACAGCTATATATTTTCTGTGTGCAGCGGCCATTATAACGGGTATGAAAAATTTGCCACAACAAATTAAAACAAAATTTTATATCTAATACACCTCTTCTAGGTATGATATTAATGCGGGACCTGAAATATATTAAGGATACCAGCGATGAACATCATTCCATGGAATTGGATAATCTATTGTTGGTCGTGGCTCAAACAGGTGAGGAGTTTATCACTTCATTTTTTAATCAAACCCTTCAACCAAATCTTTGTTTTTCCTAGGTGCCTATCTCTATGGCATGTTCAGCATTTTGGGTAGCTATTTCTCTGAATGGGACACGGTGCCGGATCGTGTTGAAGGCATTATTGCCGAAGTCTTTAATATCTTACAGACGGCCCTGCAGACAATGTTCATTCTTCATGCCAGTCATCGTCGCTGCAAAGGCTCCAAACAAATTCGCCGTAAACCTGGCAGGGAAATTATCACCTTCCTCCTGGTGGCAAATATGGCCATTTGGTTTGTAAACACACTCATTAAGGGTCGTGCAGTATTCCGACAAACTCACTTGGAATTTTATGGTGCCTGGGCATGGACCATCATTACACATGTTTCAATGCCCTTGGCAATATTCTATCGATTCCATTCGACAATATGTCTATTCGAGGTATGGAAAATCACCTATAAGGCCAAAGCACATTAATAGCTGTAAGGATCTTTTTTTAAATTGTTAATAATAATTTGTATTATACTATAGTTTTTTATAGAATATATACATATGTAGTTAGTTTAAATGTTGTAATTTTTATAAGTTATAAGTTGTTAAATTATTAAAATATAAAAATTTATAAAAAAACGATGTGGGTTTCATTTTGAGTACTGAAGCCTATTATAAGCCTATTATAGGCTTGAATTTTGTAAAGAATATTTTTAAAGGCCCTTTATAGACGTGGATTTTAATGAATATTTTTTGAATGTGGATTTTTAAAGACTATTTTTTCAAGATCTATAGAAGGCGTGGATTATTTAATGCATATTTTTTCAAGACCTATAGAAGGCGTGGATTATTTAAAGAATATTTTTTCAAGACCTATAGAAGGCGTGGATTATTTAAAGAATATTTTTTCAAGACCTATAGAAGGCGTGGATTATTTAAAGAATATTTTTTCAAGACCTATAGAAGGCGCGGATTATTAAAAGAATATTTTTTCAAGGCCTATGGAATGCGTGGATTATTTAAAGATTATTTTTTGAAGACCTATAGAAGGCGTGATTATTTAAAGAATATTTTTCGAGACCTATAGAAGGCGTGATTATTTAAAGAATATTTTTCAAGACCTATAGAAGGCGTGGAGTTTTTAACAGAATATTTTTCAAGGCCTATAGAAGGCTTTATTTAATTTTTTTTACAAAAGCAACTGTGCATTTCATGACACCTTTTTTTAAAATTTGGTGAATTTTTTAAATAATATTTTTTCAAGACCTATAAATGGCGTGGATATTTAAAAAAAAGTGTCATTAAATGCACAGTTGCTTTTGTACTTCAAATTGGAAAGCGGTCAAAATGACCGTCTTCGGCGTTCTAGTGTTAAATAATATTTTTTCAAGACCTATAGAAGGCGTGGAGTTTTTAAAGAATATTTTCAAGGCATATAGAAGGCGTGGAGTTTTTAAGGAATATAGAAGGCGTGGAGTTTTTAAAGAATATTTTTCAACGCTATAGAAGGCGTGGAGTTTTTAAAGAATATTTTTTAAGGCATATAGAAGGCGTGGAGTTTTTAAAGAATATTTTTCAACGCATATAGAAGGCGTGGAGTTTTTAAAGAATATTTTTCAAGGCATATAGAAGGCGTGGAGTTTTTAAAGAATATTTTTCAACGCATATAGAAGGCGTGGAATTTTTAAAGAATATTTTTCAAGGCATATAGAAGACGTGGAGTTTTTAAAGAATATTTTTCGTCCGATTTTAAGTAAATTCAGCACCAAAGTCCCTGAAAATCATTCAATTTACACGAATGTTAGCATAGCGTGTTGAATTAAGTCTAGAATGACGAGTGCTAAGTCTCGTAAAAATCGAACGATACATATTTTGGTACATCTTTGTTACTTGTATATACTGTTACGAAAATAACTTTAGATTTAAGATTAATTTAGATGAATTCCGTTAATTTAAGAATTTGAATTGTAACGTAAATTTCTACTACGCAGTTTATTCGAATAACTTCACAACAACAACTACTGTATAGATTTTTCTACATCCTTCCATTTCCTCTTCCATTTTCTATTTTGTTATTGTCGTACAATTCTTGTTAAACGTCATCATTGATGATCGCTTAATTCCTCTTTCTTTGTTACCCCCTCGCCTGTATATGTGTTGTTGTTATTGTTTACTCAATGTAAGTTTGTATGTGTTGTTGTTATTGTTTACTCAATGAAAGTTTGTATGTGTTGTTGTTATTGTTCACTCAATGTAAGTTTGTATGTGTGTTGCATTGGTAGATTGTTCGTGATCTAGGTGTTACCAGATCGTCTAGAAACTTCTGTAGCGACAAGCAAGGCTCATATAAATAGGGGAAATGGAAAGGCAGTTAGTCAGTTGTGAATCAGATCGCGAATTGAAACCGTCGTGTAAAGTAAAGTGCAAAGTAAAGTTGTGTGAATAAAGTCATTGTAATAATCGTAATCTGAAAGAACCCGCGTTTTATTTGATACGAACTGTGTCGGGAAATAAAACAACGTCTACACGGGATTAAGTAAAATCCAAGAACGTAACAATACAATAGAAATATAGTATAGAAATGAGGAACGGAGTTTTTTTCGAATTTTTTCGAAGTTTGTGCCGAACGAACTTAACGTTCTTCGACGTCAAACTTATATATACTTGACACACATGTTCCTTACGTCGGAAAAAATCATTAATTGCAGATCTGTTAGGGTGTGCTTTGAAGATGTGTAGTCCTCAATGCAACATATTCTGTCATTATCCTTCATTCTCACTATTTTCAGTAATACGGAGTGATTTGAAAGAAAATTGCAATATTTGACTCCAAATGCTATTTCAGTTATCCGATTTTTTCAGTTATGCGAAGTTTCACTTATATTTAAGAACATTTTTCTTGGGTTAAAACTATGTTTTCTAGGCAATATGGACAATAATTGGTTACATTTTCCAATTTATAAAGAAACAAGCGGAAAATACTTCAATTAAAACAGAATTCTTGCATGTTCTGGAACCGATCATACACGTTAATAACATAGAATCATAAATCCCATTTGATGAAAACAATAGACCGAAATCTACCTATTTCACAATAATAAAAACACTTGCGCTTTTAGTTCTTGAAACCTAGACAAAAAATAAGAAATTTAGAAAAACAAAAATAAAGCTTAACAAATATTTTTTAAGTAAACATTTGCCAAAGTGTTGACATTTTTTGACGCGTAAGAATTTATTTTTTTAACCACTCAAATTATCGTTCCATTCAAATTATTTGTCAAACAAATATTAAAAATAGAAAGAGGAATAATTTCCAACAATTTAATTTTGGGACTAATATTTATATTTTTATGGCACTCTGTATGTGATTCCCACAAAAACCAGTAAAAAAGTTTGCCGACAAATATATATCCTGAGTCTGTGAGATATATAGAATACATTTTTCCTGGCTTTTGTTCTCCTATGGAGAACAAAAGTGTTATTTACTATAGAAAAAATCGTACCTGACGATTTTTTATAGGAAAAAATCGGTACGGCCCATTGACCTATTTTTTCTATAAAAAATTAAAAGGCCGAAGAATTGACCATTTTTTTATATCTTAAAAAACAGTCCTTACGCATTGCCTATTTTTCTACAATATCAGTACTGATGTAATGATGTAGACAAAAATCATAACTTTTTTTCTATAGAAAAAAAATCAGTATGTAGGGTATTGTCGAATTTTTTACATAGTCCGTTTCCTACAGTCATCTGTGCTGAGGATACTGACATTTTTTTCTATAGAAAAAACAGACTTTAATCCGGAGGATACTTTTTTCTATAGAAAAAAGTTAGTCCTGAGACTAATCATAAACAATGGCTCTATTTCATAAATAACTGTCCGTGTTGCCAACTCTAAATATGAATGGGAGAGGCCTTGCCAGTAGTGAGTTTGTGAAACGATTACGATAACATTCTGTTGTTTGTAAGTACCCGGTGCAAAAGTAATTGCTTTGGCATAATCGGTTCACTGACTGACAAGACTTTGCAAATTTGTCGAGTTGACGGCAACAAAAAGAAACTAAAAAAGGTAATTTTCAATAATTTCATTGTATTTACAAAAACTATTTACAATTATTTTTGTAATACCCTCTAGCCAACAAACATGGAAGTCGATGAAGAAGAGTTCGAGATGCCCTCATCCAGCAGTAAGGGTGAAAAGAAACGTTTCGAAGTGAAAAAGGTAGGCAACTCACTACAATAGTAAATATTTTAGCAAGTCATAAACAATTTTTATTTTTTTGTTTATTTTACAGTGGAATGCTGTAGCCTTGTGGGCTTGGGGTAAGTTGAATTTGTTTACGGCTACAACTTTTATTTTCGCCCTATACATAACCTTCAAAACTGTGTGTCATTTTGCTGCTTTGTTGTTTACATGGTTGGTTGTTCCTGTCGATTAACAGTTTCCTTCTTTTCTTTTTTTTCTCAGATATTGTTGTTGACAATTGCGCCATTTGCCGAAATCACATCATGGATTTATGCATCGAGTGCCAGGCGAATCAAGCCTCAGCCACCAGTGAAGAATGTACCGTGGCCTGGGGTGTTTGTAATCATGCCTTCCACTTCCATTGTATTTCACGTTGGCTAAAGACCCGCCAAGTTTGTCCATTGGATAACAGAGAATGGGATTTCCAAAAGTATGGACACTAGTGTTAGCTAACTGCCCTCTACTCTGATACTGGTACTTTAGTGTGTGTTATGCTAGAGTTTTGAATATTTAGGTTATTTTTATTTCTTTCTCTTTTGTATTCCATCATCTAATTTATATGTACGAAAATGTAAATTTTTGCATTAAAAACAAATATCTCTGATTCAACATGAAGTAATCTATGCTACTTTAAGAAGAAATTTGTTTTATTTGATTATATTCCACTACCAAGGGAATCTTGGCTCTTTATTACGTTGAATCGGAATAGTTTTGATTTGAATGAATGATTTGGGAATATCAGTGTGGCTGAGGATAAACGTAGATGAATTTATAAATACCTGATTGTTGTAGTTTTTGTAAGATATTTATTTAAATTATTTTCGAACAATTATGGAACAAAGAATTGTCGAGTTGTCAATGATTCATACTATGAATAAAGACTGATTTCCTAGATAAGGTTAAAGCAATTTTCCGGCTATATATGGGAAATTACAAAAATCTTTTAAATTCCTTGAAGCTGAGGTTTGCAAGGTTATAACTCGCGAAATATGAACATATTGCATATAATTTAAATTCAATTCTATAAAATGAAGTGTTCTTGTCAAAATCTTGAAATATTGGTAATAAATAATAAGTTGCGTGGAAGCTGTGATGGTGGTAATGTAAAAAAATGGGTGAAAATGTGTTGAAGCCAACGAGTTTTTTTGTGTTCGTTCCCGATTTGTGGCTAAACTACACAACGCACACACATGTGATCAGTGACTAAGTTGCAGAATACCCCATGGACAATATGGTTCTAATGTATGATTTTTCGATATAATCACTGCATCCACCCAAAATGGATGCTGACATTTTGAAGCCGGATTTTCGGTGTTTTTTGAATTTTTCTTATAATTAGGATGCGCATCCAGACAATAGAATAAACTAATTATAGGATCGTAGAACTAATGAGCCCGGATCTAATGAGCCCATCCATGTTCAATTCCGCCCATTAAAACGGCGGATATAGGTACCTTGAATGTGGGAAAAACTGCAAAAACTTATTTTGACAAATTCGCGTAAATAATCGCGGTTTTCTTCGAATTAATTTTACATGCATTTATGCTTGTATTGTCAAATTCGCGAATCTGCGTGGAAATAGGTCAAAAATACATCGATACGCGAATAATATGCGTATTTTATCCAAAATTGATTGTGGAGGCACATCCGCGGTTCTTAACCGATCCTTTTAAAATAGGTGTCCTTTTGCGTATTTTCATAGGAGATTACTAAAATCGGATGCGCATAAAAATCGTATGCACGTTGCGTGATTTTTAGCCATTTTTAGGGTTTTTGCATAGTAAAGTGCATCGAGTGGCACACTTTGACCGCTAAATTAAACATTGAAAAATTAATAATTATTGAAAGACATTGATTCGGTTTATACGAAAATCGCATGCGCATCAACTGATTTCAATTAATTCGCGAATTGCAAGCTTTTCAATATTGATCATTTTTATGTATTGTAAATGCAATATATTTAGCCATTAATGACGTCGAAACTCTTATCAGATGAATCTGCCGATATTTAACAATCATCTAAAAGAATTTGCAGAAGAAAGCGTCGTATATTTTAGAAGATTAAGGCAAAACCGTATCCTCTTAACCATACTAAAAAAAATCGAAAATTCAAAAAAAAAAAAATAGTTTGATTTCAAAAATTAATTTATTTTATTTTCCGATATCTTCATGTTTCTATTTGTTTTTCGCGACTATTAAACCGTATTTCAGTGTGATTTGACTAGTATGCAAAGAAAACAATGGTGTTTAAGCATTTGTGAAGAAATTCGCGAATTACAACGAATAGGAATCCATTTAATATATATTTGAAATACAAGATTTAAAACCGCTATAACCTTTGTGCGCAGCATCCGAATTTGTGAACGCGAACAGATTTCGAATCAGCATATTTTTCTTAACCTATGTACCAAAAATCATAAATGTGCTCGCAAAAAAAATTTTCAAAATTTTTTTAATGGAATTTTAAAAGAATTTTGTAATTTCCCATATATACAAATTTGTTAAGGTATATTAAAAAATGAAAGTAGTTTAACTATGGAAGGAGACTTCTGAATAAATTTTTTAGGTCAATGCAAGTTTTCGGAAGAAAAAGGAAGGAAAAAATATCTATGGCAAAAAGGCAGTATGATGGACTGACGGCCCCAACATCTGGGTCAGCTAGTCCGTTTATTATCATTTTTAACCGATTTCAAAACTACAACCAGTAGGGAAAGTAGTAAAGTCGCACTTGGCCGACTATGTAATACAATTCACCATTTCGGGTATATTCAACTGATGTAGCCTGACATGCGTCGCCTTTTCGAAGGAACATTGACAAGATATTGAACGAATGATAGTTTTAATATATGTGAATCCACTAACATCAATCCAAACATATGCCATTCTGCAAACTATGCTAAATTTCAGAGTTTCGGGCAGATTTAGAGTCGTTTGCGAACAATAGACAAATTGATGTTAATCGATTTATAGCAAACTTTATAGACGCTATTCGGTATGCCGCACTGTTCAAAATTTAATCTCAAACTCCCGTTCTGCATCTGCACCAATTTAAAGAAAAAAACGCAAAAACGTTGTTGCAAAATTTCGTGTCAATCAAAACAAGTGAAAAAAGCGTTAAGGTCGGCCGGGCCGAACTTTCGATACCCTCCACCATAAGTATACTGACAGATACTAGCAATGAAAATATAGGAAACATACCAAAAGGTGGACCTATACCGATAATCCAACAAACCGATTTATGTAACCCATTATGTACACCAAATACAAATTTCAATAATGTATAATGAAGTTTTTTCTGAAAATCTGAAAACACCAAAACGTGGATTGGTACTGATAACGAATTGTGGAGTATAAAATCTTCAAATTACTGCAATTTAGATAGGCTATGCCTAAATGGGGACCAATATTGAATACATAGTTTAGGAATTAGCCTAATTAATGACCGATATATGTCAATTTCGAACCCAATATTTTAGTTTTGTATCTCAATGATTACCTCCAGGAGGTATCATTATATGGAGAAGATGCCTAAATGCCTACCGATATATTTCACTACATTGGGACAATCCCAAAACACGGAACAAATGAGCTATTTTAATATAAAAAGGGAGTGAATATTAACAATTTTTGGTAGGGAGATTTGTTACCATATACGACTACAAAACGCCAAATTACAGCGAATTCAGTTGAAAACGCGCCTAAACCTAAAAATACCGAAAATTATGGGTAGGCTTATATGGGGGCTACTAGAAAAAAATGGATCTATATTTATAATTTTTAGTGGACAGACTTGCTACCCAATAAGAACTCGAAGTACTAAATTATAGCCAATTCGATCAAAAATAATGGGGCTACCAGAAAAAGTGGACCGATATTTAAAATTTTTAGTGGAGAAATTTGGTACCCAATAAGAACCCAATGTAGCAAATTTAAGCGAATATATTTGAAAAACGCCCTCAAGATCCCCAAAATACCACAAATTGGGGGTACCCTTATATGGGAGCTATGCCTAAACGTAACCCATCTTCTAACTTGACCTGTCTGCAGACAAAAGACCCTGTGCAAAATTTTGGGGATCTATCTCTATTTGTTTAGACGCTAGAGTGATTACAACACACGGGCAAACGGACATGTTTAGATCTTAGAATACACACTGATCAAGAATATATATACTTTATATGGTCGGTTGCAAAAACAAAATTAATATACCCTCCATACTATGGTGGAGGGTATAAACAAAATTAGGAGTTTTGAGCACAATTTAGATAAAATGGGAAGAAAATATATATAGGAGTTATATATAAATCTGAACCGATTTTTACAAAACCTAACAAACATCATTCTGGACTCATCCCGTACGCTTTGCTAAATTTCGTGCGAATTGAAAGAAATACTGGGGCTATACAAATACACTACACCATATGCTGAAGGGTATAAAAATCCACGATTATAGTTGCCGTAGTGCCTGAGAAAAGTACTCTAAGTATATGTATATAAAAAAGTTTAATCTCGAACCAAATATTTCGTGATATTACAAATCATGATTTGGAATACAAATACAAATAATATAAATTATATTGTTTTATTATTTCGAATTTTCTGCTATAAAATAATTTTTTCTGAACTAATCCAAACAAAAAATATTCAATTTTGATTTTCTATTTAGAAACTAAATGAAATTTCTGTAGAATTTTTTTATTTTGGCTATAAAAAAGATATATAACAATTAAAAAGAAAAACATTATGTTTGATTCACTTGCAATGCATAATATAAAAAGAGATTCTATAATTTTTCAAAACATGTCCTCAAACATTTGGGGCAAATTTCTTGTAATGAAACACACATTTTTTACATATTTATAGGAGTTTTTTTTTGCGTTAAAGATATATTTTTATTTTTGTTTTAACATTTTTCAGTTTTATTATGTTATTTATTTTTTTATAGAAGTTCGATTTTTAATTGTTTTATTTTAGATTTTATTAATTATATTATGAACTATTATACATTATTTGAATTCGATTTATTTCTATTCTTAACTTTTTGATGGTTATATTATTGTAATTACAGTTAGAACAATTGTTGTTGTTGTTGTCATTACATTCTTTATAAGATTGAATTAAATTATTATTTGTTATAATATTATTATGGGATTTGTTGTTGTTATTATTAATAATATTTCTTTGTTTATGTTTAAATTTTCCATCTGAAAAATAGAAAGAAAAATGAAGAAGAAAAATTAAATTATTTTTGCAGGAGAAAAAAATGAATACGAACTTTATTAAAATCAAATTGAAATTTTGATATCAAAACTAAAATATAAAGATTTTCCTAACTTTATATTTAGATTATATAATCCAAAATGAATCTATCGACCATACATTCCAATCAATGTTTGTACATTTATTTTTTAGTTATAAATTTGTTAAACATTTATATTTTGTAAATGGTTTCTAAAAAAAAAAAACAATTACACTCGTTAATTTATTTAAATAATTGTACGAAGAAGAACACAGAATCACATCACAAATAACATTTAGTTAAGGAGGGGAGGGGACCATTTAAGTCAATGTAGAAAATCACGTTTTAAACTGTTTCAAAAGCCGATCTCAATCCTAACTATCCTAATGAACATTAATTTTTGAAAATATATATCCAAAAAAATTTTAGTTTTTTCAGATAGAAGTTTTTGTTTTTTATTAATAATGATTTGTTTTAAATTCAACAACAATTTGAAACAAATGCTTTATAACTTATATATTAATTTTTTTATGTTTTACTGTTTTTTATTTTATTTATTTTTTTTATTATGAGATGAATTTATGTATAAAGTAGAAATGAGTAATAATTCAGATTTCTCATACACCATTTTGCATATTCGAACATAGTAAATTGTAATTCCTTGGCGACAAGTTATTTACTTTGTAAACATTTTTGTTTATTTGAATTTATTATCACTTCTTTCATACATGTTCGACTGCTTTGTACAACATCGTTGAACTCCAAATTTAGTTTCATGACTTTGGATAATTTTAAGAGTTTTGTAATAAATAAAATTATTTTTAAGAGGATGCCGTTTAAATAAATAAAATAAAAAAATGTTTGAAATGTTCAATCACAAAAAGCAATTAGCTGTTAATAAACGAGATTTAACAAGTAAAATTATGGGATATACTTATTCAAAATACCTAAACATTTTTAATTCGGAATTGTTTTAGCTGGATGTTTTTATCCCCTAAAAACAAAATTTCGGCTAAGACCTTTCAGTCATACGTCCTACAATCGCAACCTCGAAAATTCCAAACCCATCACACTTTAAACGTGACCCTGAAGCTAGACAGACCTCTCCTCTCAATATGAGGAATGTGGGCCTTTCCGCCTTAGCGAAGAATTCCCATTTATCTCTGGTATGATTCTCCCTAGATGGATGATAGTGAAGTCATGGAGACCACTGGGGACAACACGACGGTAATTGTGGTTACTACCCAACTCAAGGAGAATAATCAAAGGTGCGCAGTGATCTTGGCGGAAATGAAAAACACAACAACACGATGCTACCGAGACTTGTGGACTTGGTGCTAATGACCTTCCCATTAATTTTATTGATAACCACCGCGTTTCCAACGTCTTTCACCTCAGCCCATTGTGTAAAGGCAATAGGACTGCTACAACAACAACTGGAGAGCAAAATATTTTTATCGCTTCACCGAGCGGAACACGAAAACCATAACGAACAACGACTTCTCCCAAATCAAAAATAATCGCAAGTTCATTCGTAATTTCACAGGATGGCTCAAGATAGCCGCCCACTGAAGCAGAACACGGAGAGTTGCCCGACTATGACTGGGAATATAGAATACGGAATATGTAAGCAATTAGAATATTCTAGAGGGTTTCTGAATGACGAGAGGTCCTTGCCACAATCCACTAGTGCGAAGGAATCTTCTAGAGGGTCAATGAATGACAAGAGGTCCTTGCCACAATCCATCAGTGTGAAGGAAGGTAATGTCATGCCTATACCCTACAAAGGGGGAGCCCATAAAGGCTCTAGTAACCCGACAACGTCGCACCGGGCAAAAAACATCACATAAAATCCATCATATTTTGCTTCGGAAAGCTATTTTCGAAAATCTGAGGCTTTGTCAGATACCGAAATTGTGCGGGACTTTATATGGGTGCTATGTTAAAACGAGGTACTTTAAGCTTCATTTTCTGCGCATGTGTATGTCGGCTTACACAACTCAAAAAAAAAATTAGACCCCGTTTGTTTCGAAAATGCGAAAATGATCTAAAAATACGGAAATTTGGGTGGGACATTTATATAGACGCTATATCATAATGTGGACCTACAATTATCACATTCTGTGAAGATGTATGTCATATCGGCTACACATTTGATTTTCTGCAAACAAATGGACAGTTTTGTGTTCGAGGATAAAGCAGGAATGGTCCCGACGATGATCATTCGACTACAAATAGCCTGGAAGGTCCAAAGACGTTGGGGTTGAAATCGACATTTTGTTAGGAATTGACCCAACCTTTGTCTAATTTTGAAAAGTGTATTGCTATTTTCTAGACAGGTGGGTCGATTTGCACCAAGAATATTCGACTGCAAATTGTCTGAAACAAAAACACTTAGGTCGGGTCTAAACGGAAATTTCGACGTAACACATTTTTTTATCGTATTAAAGGCTTTTTTCATTTCCAACAATATCAAAAAGCAAACAAAAATCGAACTAAATTAAAAACATATTTCTTTTTTCTTTAAATATTAAATGATTGTGTGTGTATTTTTCTAATAAAAAAATTTTTACTTAATAAATATAAGTAAAAAATATATTAATAAACCATTTTTGATGGACACAAAAACTAAACTATGAATTAACTTACAAATAATTATTTTTTGTAGATTATAAACTAAAAATAATAAAACTAAGCAATATGGATCACAATTAAGTAAATAATAAGGATTCTAATAATAGATAGATGTTTAAAAACCAAAAAAAAATAAAATTAAAAAAAAAATAAAACCAATAAATTATTTTCGAATCAAAAAAGTCGAACGATGGCAACAAAACAAAATGTTTGCCAAACGAACACTTTGGCACTAACATATTTTTCTTTTTCTAAAATAAAATAAAAATTTATAAAAAAAATGTGTGGGTGGGGTGAGGAGGAGTTTTTGTAAAATATATGGGAATTTTGCTAAATAAAAATGCCTTAACCTTTAAAATCTTGGTTTCTTGGTTTTCTGCTCTACAACAACTAATTAACTTTTGAACTTAATGAGAAAAAAATATAACACGCTATGTTTTGATTTGAAAACAGATCCTCTTAGAATAATAATAATAACATTTACACATTACTCTTAACAAGATTCCAAAGGGGGGTTTGTTTGTTTGCTGCTACTATTGTATGTATGTATGTATGTATGATGATAGAGTTTTGTTTCCAAAGGTGTTTCTTTTGGAAAGGGGCGGAGCTGTACTTTTTCTGTTGTTGTTGTTGTTAATTATCTCATTTTATTTTCTTAAATTGTTATTTCGTATAATTAATGTTTTTTTATAGTTAAATATTTCCTTTTCTTCTTTAGATTTTTGTTTTTTTAATCATATTTACATATATATTTTAATTTTTTTATTATTAATACTATGCAAATAATTTTTCGGCTTGTATTTGTTGTTGTAATAATAAAGGTCAATGAGGAGTTAAGAGATCAGTACTTTTCTTAGTTGTTGACGCATTTGCATTTGTATTTGTGGTGGTAACCGTAGCTGTAAGGCTTAAAGGTAATGATGAGGCAGTATGGATGTTATGTTGGTTACTACAATTACTACTACTACTATTTGTTGTTGTTGCTGTTGTTTGGTTACTACTTAACAAACGTAACGGAGACATGTTGGCAGCTGTAATGGTCACATTGTTGTTAACCAAATTACGGGCAAATGAGGGTGCAATCAGGGCACAAGAGCCAAAGGTATGTTTGGGTATGGCTTGAGAAAGAAATATTGAGACCGGCGATGATGAAGCTGCTGTTGCAGCTGATGGCGATGATGATAGTGTTGGAACTAAGGAGGACGATGACGAGGAGGCAGCAGAGAGTGGCATAAGGCCCGAAGAAATATTATCCAAATTGCTGGGAAATGTTAAATTTGTGGCCAACAATTTATGTTTAGGTGACGCACCCAGGGAAAGATTTAAAGGCTCTTTTAGAGGTTCTTCCATAGAAAAAATACCTCCTCCTCCAACAACAACACCTCCTCCACCATCACCACCACTACTAGCAGCTGCCAATGTGCTATGACCATATGGCGTTGCACTACATGCCGAAGCAAAGGAGGAATTTGAAATCGACAAACAGGCAGGTGGTGGTGGTGAGGCAACAGAAGATGCAGCCGCCTCAGTGGAAGATGTCAATGATAAATTTATAATTGACGACTCCCCCGCCGAGGAGCTATGCAGTGTTGTGGTATTGGCCGAGGTGTTAAACGATGACGATTCATTTAACGACGACTCATCCATGAAACTGCTGCTATCATGGGTCAAATTTCCTGAGGTGGAGGATGTGGGTGGAATGTCTATAGTATGGGTTTCATTGCCAAATATCAAACGCAAACGTTTCTTTTGTGGTGTCATTTGATTCGATGATGATGATGTACCACCACCACCTATGGCGCCGGCCATGCTTGAGCAGAAGGTAGTAGCTGTCGACGACGGCGGAGGCTGTGGTGGTGGAGGTGTGGTTTCTTTGGCTTCTACCATTCTCTCCATATGCTGTTCCAGTTCATCAATGGACGTCAAATTACGTCTATGATGATGACGCCGATGATGATGATGCTCCTTAGACTTGTGTCGCTTCTTTCGTTTACCCCTAATATCTTTCTCATCGAAATCTAAACCATTTTCAGTGATACCTTCCATGCGTAAAATTTCATATTCTACAGGTTCGGAAGAAGATCGACTGCACGTTGAAGAACCCCCAGTGACACTGCTACTTTCATCGCTGAGACTGGTACCCGATTCAATGACCTCATCCAAAATGGGCGATCTTTTCATGCGTAGTGTTAATTTTAAACGTCTCTCGGGGGTCTTTAGCAATGGTTCTACCGTTGAAGTAGGATTGCTTTCTGCACTTAGGATGGGTAGGGGTGTTGAACTCGTAGTAGTGTTGCCAGCTGCCAACTTGGGCGGGTTTGCTAACTCACAAATACTTTCCGAATGTTGACGTTTACGTGAGGCTTGATGTGGCTGTGGCTGCGTCTGCAGCTGGTTATCTGGTATCACAGTCTCTTGTGTAGCAGAACTACTAGTGCAACGTGCTGCAACATGACGTCTTAAACGTTGCTGTAGTGGCACTTCTGGTTCAGTAGTTTCATTAATACCACTGGTGGCCAAACCTTTTTCGCGTATGCTATCATCATCATCAGTACTACTACAATAATTTTTATTGCTACTACCATTATCAATAACTCCTAACTTCGTATCGGTGCCTTTGGCAACTTCTTCAAAAGAATCGATTAAATTCTTTTTAAAACTAGGACTACTATTGGTGTTGTTTTGTGGCGACACATTGGTGGCATTGTTAGTAGTCGCATGGCTATTTGCCGTTCTTCTGGTGTGAGGTTTATTGTCCTCAATATTGTCCCCCTGTAGCGTTGTTTCCTTATCCTCAATCATTATAACATTCGCCTCAGCCTTATTTTCCACCACAATACTAGGATCGTCGTCATTGACGACATTTTCACTGATCTTGAGAGTTCTACTAGTTCTACCATTATTACTACTATTACTACTGTTAGTGTTCCTAGTCTCACCCTTTGGAATATTATTTTGTTCGAAAGTTGTTGTTGCAGATGTTGTCAATTCGCTGTTTTTAACATTATTATTATCCAAATGAGGATGATGATGTGGATAAGAATGTTGATGGTGCTTTTGTTTCTGATGGACATGGTGGTGATGATGATGATGATGATGCGAATGGATATGATGATTATTATGGTTATACATTTTATGGTTATTGTTGGCCACATTACAATGATTTTCTTCTGTTGCCAATGATGATGATGAAGCGGAGGTGGCCGCAGCAGTCGAACTGCTATCCGCCGTGGCTGCTGCTGAACCTGTTTCTTGATGGTGATGCTGCTGATGATGATGCCTTAAGACACGGGTTGTTGTCGTTGAGTTATGCAAAACCGCCCCGTTACGCGTCAAGCGTCTCTGGGGCAGCTGCCTCTTCCCCACTGCGGTATTTTCATCGGAATGCGTTAGATCCTCCATCACCACCACTGAAGAATTTTCCTCTTGTTTTGATGGTGGCTTCCTCGATTTATCACCTACCACCACCACCCCCGCCGCTACTCCTTTGTGTGTTGTGACAGGATAATTTCGTACAATTGGCGTTTCCATATCATCTGTTTGTTCAGCTTCAGATTCTGAGATTAGTATTATGTTATCCTCCGGGGCAGAATGTTCTGAATTCGATGAATTACTCATGGCAGCAGCAGCTGTTGAACGGGTCTGACGTGTTGTCTTCACAGAGGGGAGAGGGGGATTGGCAACAGACGTTCCCGCAGGTGCTGTGGATGCAGCATTTGATCTCGTCGTGTGGTGTGACGACGTTCTACCACCTCCAGTATGTGTAGTAATGTTTGCCACTGCAATTGATGCTGCTGCCCTTCTAAGATTTCTTCGAGTGGTTGTGGTGGTCGATGTGGCTGCACTGCTTTTGGGCTCATCAGCCGTACCAGACTTTGTGGAACTTCCTCGTGTTGTGGTGGTACTATTAGCCAAACTTGCAAAATCTTCTGTCGAACCGGAAGATATTGTACTACTTGTACTATTAACTCTGGCAGATTTCCTAAGGGTTTCTCGATAACCGCCACCACCACGTGGAATACTTGTCGCCTCTGAAGGTTTACTATGCTGAGATGTTGCAGTCGTTGTTGTTGTTACATTTTCTGTATTCTCAGATTGATTACTTTGCTGGCTTTGGTGTTGATGTGGCAGATTATTATTTACATGATGTGAGGCATTCGAAATATTATTATGATGATGGTGATGATGATGTTTCATACCATTGGCTGCCAATATCATTTCAGCATCATATTTTGTCATGCCTTTTTGACGCAGCTCCACCATGGTTAGGGGTGTTACAACCACATTATTATTTTTATTCACCGTGGCATCCGCATTCACACTATCTCCCAGTTTCACCGAACCATTATTATTGCCCACAACATTCCCCGAAGCATTGCTATCACTTAATGCTCCATTTGTCAGTTCGGTGTTGGTAGAATTTGTTGAATTTGCTCGACTTTTTATTCGATTAATACGGTTATCGGTCTCGCGCAAACGATAACCCCCACTAGCGTTGGCATCACCGACCACACAAGCTCCATTTAAACCCAGCGTCAGCACAGAATCTACACCCAACTGGCCGTTACCATTCTTGCCAGCAAATGCTCCAGTTCCTCTACGTTCGCAGGTTTCACATTCACAATAACAATTAGCATCACCGAAAAAATCCTCACCATAAAAACAGGTGATCTCTTCGCCCACCTCAATATCACGCAGAACTTTTACGCATGCCGTATCACGGCCAGTTGCAACAAATTTGCAATTAGCACGGCAATCGTGATTTATATAGGCAGCCGGACCCAGCCACAGCTGGGCGCAATTTTTACGACAACTATACATAACGGAGAAATCATTTTTGCCCGTATGCAAGAGGGCAGCCTCTTCGGCTTCCGTTAGCTCAGCTATACAGCCGACAAGGCATTCGATTTTATCGTTTTTTTGCCAACGTTTTGTGGCACAGATCTTGGCGCCCTTTTGTCCTTCGAGCGAATAACGATAACAGGCTTCTATAACAAAACCACTATCCTTATCGAAGACACGTAAATAGCGAATAATCTGAAAGTAAAGGAATAATGGACATAATGATTAATACAAAAAATAAAAACTTTTATTAAAATGACCATAAAGTCGATCGGGATTTTTATATGGGTTTTATGAAAATAAATTACTTACATGATCATGCAATTTTTTAATGGCCATTTTATTTTTATTACGAAAACTCCTTGGCAACCATGGACCACTGAAAATCTTCTTAACAGCCACCTCGTAATTTTGTGTTTGTATAAATTCATCGACGATCGCTTTCAGCTGGGCCGTGTCCACCTTTAAGGGACGATAGCGAATATTCATTTTGTGCGTCTGAAAACCCAAATGTGGATCCAATATTAAAGATGTGGCCAGATCATCATTTTCGGATAACTCTTTGGGAGTCATACCGGTGGATTGTGAGAGTCGTGATACAATACTATGGGTCGAACCATTAATACCACTAAGTGGTAAATGATAACCATTGTTATTGCCATTGCTGTTGTTGTTATGATGATTTGTATTATGATGGCTGTGATTGTTGCTGGTGGTGTTGGTGCCGTAATGACCATTTGCCGACATTGAATGTGTTTTGTTGTTGTTGGTTGCAACAATGCCACCACTGCTCAGTGTGGTTAATTTAATACCGGCAGTGGCAGTAGCGGCCGCAGTTGAATTAAATTTTGTTGCAGTTTCACCACGACGGCTGTGATGTGAACCAACAACCATTCTGTACTACAGTCTGAAAATAACAAATAGAAAGAAAAACACAACGATCAGAAAATTGTTTTAAGATATGATAAAAGAATATGGAACATGATACTCAGAGCCGTATTAAAAGATTGTTAATTGGTAAAGTTATCTTTTGACGGCAACAATTAATTAATTTCGCAGACGAAAGCAAATATCAACCAACAACAATGATCAGAATAAAATTCCATGTCGATTTAGCTATGTCCGACTATTGGTTGAAATCTCGATAGAGTTCGTCATATTTTATATAGAGCTTTTAAATCTGGCACATTTATTGTTACGACACCTAGGATTTGTTTTATTTGTTTGATATTGAAAATGGGATATATCGGTCCATGTTTTGTTATAACCCTCATATAATGGTATATCCCTATATTCGGTATTTTGGTGATTGTGGATATGTTTTGAACCGAATTGGCTGTTATGTGGTATTTGGGGTTGCCATTGGGGAGCAAATGTTCCTACAAAAAATTATGAATATTGTTCCACTTTGAAGGGAAATCCCCTCCCAAAGTGCAGTAGAAAATATTTCTTAACTTAAAATTATGAAAATGGACCATATGGTATAGACCCCATATAACCGATCCTCCCATTATGCTGTGTTTGGGGCACATTTTTCAAACCGTTGGTTAGTTAACAAATTCTACCAAAAATTATTTATATTGATCCAGTTTTTAAGGAAGCTCCATATTTGTAGTGAAATTGTCAAAAAGATCAGAGACCGGACCCTAAATTTGTTCCCATTTTACTTTAAACTACATGTAACCTCTTCTGGGTATTTTTTTGACATATATATTTTACATTTGTTTGACATATAATGTAATTAACAATTTAGATCTACTGGATTTAATAAATTCAGTACAAATTACTTTTATTTCAATAATCCATCCATTTTTATTTAAAAAAAAAATTAATTTAAACACTATTATTTCAATAATCCATCTACTCCTATTTAAAAAATTGAATTTAAAATAAACACATTTATTTTTGTTTTCGTTTTTTCATCAATTGAAACCCAACTGTTTTTGACGTCTTCGCTATAGATATCATAACATGTGAACATACCTTACGTTACAAGCTAGCACAGACTGAACATACCCCCTGAACAAAAACAGCTGGCAATACAACTGACAACGAATGAAAAATGGCACAGCTGTTAATAATTGAAACTGATGTGATATATAGAAATAAATTAACCCAGGTTATGAGAATAGATATTGGGATAATTTAAAAAAGTGTATACAATTAATTATAAGTCATAAAAATCTTAAAAACACATTTTATCACATATTTTTGTTGCACTTTGAACTTTCCACGTTTTTTTCAGGTATGTTCTTATTCTTAATTAACAAAAATATTTTCTATTCACTTTTCCTTTTTTCAGTCTCGTTAAAGTAGATACAAAAAAATTATTGATTGACTTTACACTCCATTCCACTTCTCGTTTTTTGTGTGTGTACACATAAGAATATGAGGTGAACAATGTAATAAAAGGCATACAAGACAAAAAAGAAAACACACATACGCAATGCAAAAGCCCAGACACACGGAATACGAAACATGGGGGGCTGGACTGGTGAATTAGGCATATGTAACTGCAACGTTACCGTTATCAGGTAAAAAGCAAATACTAAAATGTGTTTTATGACACATTTACATTATATTGGATTTAGTAAATCCATCGGATTTAACTTGTCAATTCCAAAGCATATATGGCAAATAAATCATAGACGTTAACCCGGTAATTAGTTCTAATCAACATGCCGTTAAATATCCATAACGACATCACACACACTTTAATAGATTTTTAATAACACATTTAACACTTTTTTAAAATTTGTTTTTTTTTCAGCTTACTACCGTTGTTGAAGCAATTCAATCAGCTGATACTTTACGTCACATTAGCGTACCAGCAACGATTGTCTAACTTAACTCGGCATACATATGTTTACAAAAATCACAAAAGCATTTTTTTACTAATTTCTTCGTTTTCTCCATTCATTAAACATTCCATGTTTTACTTTGTCATGTATTTATTCTATTTTTTTATAATCTTCACAGCATTTTCATTTTTCAAAACATTTATTTTAACGTTATCTGTCAATCTCACTCACGTACAAAGAACACAAAGCGTTAAAAGCGAAAGAAGGGAAAAATGTAACCGAATTGAAAAAGAAACATGTGAACAAAGAAAAACCCTAAAAATCAACAAAATACGAAAGAACTCATACACAGGTACACACTAGTTGTCTCTTTCCCGCACACACACACTCACTCACGTACAACACACCGTCTATGCCCATCGTCGTTTTGTATGGATTCTTTATGTTGAGACGAAAACGAAAAAAGCAAAAAAAAAAACACGATTGCACGAAAAAGAACGTACGCTCATTAAATACACATGAAAATGGCGGCGTCGGTTCACCTTCTTTTTTTCTAGGATTTGTTTTCTTTTTTAAGCTCGGTTTTGACCAGAAGTATTCTCTGAAGGAAGTCATTACCTTTTGTCGAATATATCCCAACAGCTTTGAAACGTTATGTTCTGCTTGTTGTTGTGTGTCTGTTCACAATGAAACTTGCTCTCTCAGCTTCTGCTACTGTTGTTTTTGTTGTTGTTGTTCTGTTTTTTGCTGTTGCTCTTGTATTCGCTCGATAGGTTTTTTTGTGTGTTCGTCTCACAGACCTTTTCAGCATTTATGTGTATACATTTCTTCTTCAATTTTCCATAGCTCCGATTTGTGATTTGCAGACTCGATTTTTCAAAAACCAAAATTTAGAAAACACAAGCGAGGCCATAATTTATTTCGGCTTCATCTTGACAAGATATTGCAGTTTATTTTCCTTTCTTACTGTGGGTTTTCTCGTTACTACGACGACTGTCTGCCGTGTTGTTTCGTTTCAATTCACCCGTCTGTCTGTCTGGCTGCCTGCCTATCTCTCAACACACAAAGAAACTCAAATGACTCTTTGGCTTAGAAGAAGACAGAAGACAAAAAGAAACAGCAAGAAGCCTTCTGCCAGAATCCGAAACAAAATTCACACTCTGACGTTCTGCTTTTCCGAGCGAATTCTCTTCCAAAACTAACAACGGCGTCGCCGTTTTTGCGACTGTCGATGGGGTTATGACCAATTGATGCCTGTGTTTCAACGCCTTATCCAATGACGTCGGCGTCGCTGCCGTACTATGTCGGTCGGTCGCTGACTATGTCTGTCCGTCCGTGTATACTTCTTCTGTCTGGCTGCCTCCTTCTTCTTCTTCTTTTTCCTTGTGTCGTCAGACTATGTATGGCGTGCAAGAAGTTGCGTTACTATTTTTCTTTTCGTATTCCTCTCGATTTCCTTTCCTGTCTGTCTGGTTCGTGCATTTAATTCGTTTCGAACTTTAATTCCCGACAATTTACCAGACATCCATCTTATTTCTTGTGTATTATTATAAAACCGAATAAATTTGTGTGCTTAGCACGATATAAATTCACTATTCAATGACAATTTAGCTTGAGATTTTTCTTCAGTCGATTGCTACACACACACACACCAGAGTTGTGTCGTTCCGGAACGACACTAGTTCAATAGAAACAACTCTGTGAAATGAACGATTGGAACGATTTTAATTTAGTTCAGCTAGTTCACTGCGCTCAGTTGAATCCATTGAGTCGGTTTGATTTAAAAGCACGTTTGGACTGTTCTTTCCATGATGCAATATTAAGATGATGTATAAAAACAAAAACCTTTGTTTTTGTTGTCTCCACCATCTGTCAAATTTTTCCTTGTCAATTTCAACGTGTATAATATTTCACATGTTTGGCAACATTGCCCATCGAATTCAAGTAGAAATTACCCACTTTGACAGTTAATCGAGTCATCAGCTGATTTAAATGGACTACCTATTTATTTTAAAGGTACGTTTAGGTTTACGATATCAAATGTCAATTCCATTGTTTATACGTCAAATACAATCCACTGGATTTGTGAACTTCATTAACGTGACGTATACGCAATGGAATTGGCATTTGAGATCGAATTGCTTACGTAAATCTAAACGTACCTTTAGAAAGAATAACGGCGCAATAAATATGTAGTCCATTTACAACAGCTAATGACTCTATTAACTGTCAAAGTGGGTAATTTCTACTTGAATTCGTTGGGCATTGTTGCCAAACATGTATAATATTTCACTCTAAACGTAGCCTTAAGACGCGTTTATACTATAGATTTTAGTGCGTTATTTCGATTTAAGGCGCATTTACATACAATAGAAGAATCAATTAAATTTAAATATTGTAAATGTGTGAATAATTGTCATTTTGCTACTTTTAAAAGAAGTGATTAATTTTTAAGTGCAAAAAACAGTGTTTTATTTTACTTAACATTCACAAAAATTGAATTATCTTTTATGTCAACAATCAATATTTTTGATTTGTGGGTCCTCCACCGTTGGCCACATCTAGAAATATTTACGTAGATCCGCTGCTAGCGGATTTAGAGCGCGTTTAGACTACTGAATCTACTCGATTTCAATACCATAGAATATACGCCATTTATAGGTAGATTTCGTAAATCTAATAGTATATATAACCATATTTGAGTACGAGACAAGGCACATTTGCTCTATTCCAGAACTGAAAAAATATCTATTTAACGAAATTGTTTTAGGTACGGGAACAGACCACAAATAATTTGATGTATAGCCCTTAGCTTTTGTTACATTCAAAATGACATCTACAAATGGATATTGTATTCGTCATATTTATCTGTTTCTCTTTCTTTTTTTTTGTATATTTGAATAGTTCAATTCTTTCTATTCTAATAATAGAAACAATTAATTTTCGAATGACTGATATAATTGAAGAAGTAAGTGGCGAAATTTCCGAGGCATTTGATAATTTCAAACAAAAACAAAAAGCTGTTTTAATTAATGCAGCAAATGAATTATCATGTCAATGTAATCATACGTCTCGTATAGCTCTGGTCCATGAGAGAATAATGTGGTATTTATTTTAAATAATATTAGCAATATTATTTTTGCCCATATTAAATGGCATCTTCTTATTTCATTGCAGGTACAAACGTATGACATGTTTCTATGAAATAGTCTTATTAAGCCTTACCGCAGTATTCACGTTACTTGTCTATGGATTTTGGTTGTTCCGACAATATAATATTTCGAACATATTTGGTACTCATGCTCATGCATTTTGGCCATTAAATTCATGTGCTGTTGCATTTTAATAATTGATTGTAAATATATAAAATCTATATACAAATAACACTTTATGTGCATACATATATCCTGAATCAATGCCGACCATAAATGAAAAATACGTTCTACTGATATCCATTTATAATGTGAAGGTACGTTCTGTATAAGTCCCATATCGTAAAGTAAAAAAACTGTCGCGTAGCCGTCGGCTGAGAATAATCAGTCTGATGAGCTCGTGTTGTCTTATTTTAACAATTAACAAAGTGCACAACAAGATTGTCATTAATCAGGCAATCATAAATATATTAATGGTAGTTGGACAGTCAGTGATCGATAAAAAAAAAGCTGTCACTCAAAAGTGCTTGAGTTAGCAAACCTAAGGCTGACGTCAGAGTGCAAGCGAGAAGCGATGCGATACTACATGCTATAATAGTTCATGTGCATGTCAGAGTGAGTGCTATAGAGAGCAAAGCGTGTTGTTGGTTTATGTCGCCTATTTCTGTTGTAAACTGGTGTTTTCAAGAAGGATTCAATTTTTCATATCACAAAATATTTTCAAAGTAATTTTTTAAAGAAAATTCATGAAATATATTTCTGCATCGATTTCCCTTTTTTTTTAAATTATTTTATTATTATTTAATTAAATTTGGACTTGAGTTCCCGGACAGATTGGTCCACGCCAATAAAATTCGATAAGATGCAAAAGAACGATGCCAAAAACCGATCAATAACGGTAAATAAAAGTAATAAACAAAGAAACTCAAACAGAGCCAAAGCGAGCTCTTGCTATAAACCATTGCACAACACGCTTTATCGCTTGCACTCGCTTTGTCTAGCTTCTAGCGTAGCATCCACTCTGACAGCTTTTGCGCTATGCCATAAGAAAACACATGCAGAGGTTTATAGCGTCGTCTAGCGGCATATCATAGCATCGCGTCTCGCGCGCACTCTGACGTCAGCCTAACCTCAATCCCATAGTAGAATTATTAAAGGTAGGATAAGCTACCAATCATGATGCAATAATAAGGTGATGAATCAAAACAAATTAATTAAATTTTTCCTTAAAATATTTCACATGGTTGGCAACATAGCACATCGAATTCAAGTAGAAATTACTCACTTTGACAGTTAATCATCAGCTGCTTTAAATGGACTACCTATTCATTATGTTCTATCAAATCAAAATACATATTTTGTGTATGTGTGTGTATAGTTTTGAAGACCATGACAAATAAATTCAAATTTATCACGTTCGGCTGAAAGTAATTAATTTGTTATGGATGAAACAAACTTTTCATAATATTCCCTAATGGATTTTGAAAATTATAACGGTTAATTCATTTTTCGCGTTTTTAGTTATGTGTTGGAAAAATTCAAATAGTCATAACAACTTGTTGCGTATATTTTTTATATTTGACAGAAAAAGCCATTATCTACATAGTTGCTTTTTTGTAATTCAACCCCTTTTTAAAAACTTAAGCCCCAAATAACGTGCCTCTTCTCATCTTACAGAAAGAAAAAAACCTAATTTTAGATTGGTGGCTCAGATTGGATTTTTTCTGATCCCACTGACCACATGGAAATTTATTTTTGTAAGTTAACTTGTGTCAACGTCATTTGACATAAAAATGTAAACAAACAAATAAATTATATTTATTTAAAAAAAGAAATATTTTCGAAATCTCAAAATAAAATTTGAAAAATATGAATGAAAATCTATCAAATTTATGTTTCTATCGCTTCCACAACTTTCCTATAATTGAGCTATTGCCACTTATATGTGTAACACATATGAAAATGCAGGAAATTGCGAGTTATTTAATGAATAAAGATTTGCTTCCTCAAACTTTCCCAGCAGGCAGATTGAGTAAATTGAATACGGGAGCATATTTAATAAAGAAAAATTTCAAATTGTATGCATTCCCAATTTTCCTGTTGGGTGATTTTTAAAAACATAATTTGTCAAATTCATATTGACACTAGTATTACGTTGGAATCAAATCAGCTGGGATTTGCTGTTACCTTTCATACGTTGGTATATGGTCGTTGGTATATGTTTTAAAAAATTAAACATTTTTAATATCTAAAGATTTTAATCATGGTACAATTACTCAAGGTAGGCCATATCAACTTATAAATTAAAATTTGTTCATACTATGGCTTGTTATGCCAAAGTCATATACAAAATATGTGGCTGTGTGTGTAATGTTTTTGAAAAATACATCAAAATATATTCGAAAATCGATTTGTTTGAAGATGAATTTGTAAGAAGAAATGTCTGATTTGTGAACATGTAAATCATATCCCAAACTCGATTTTAAAAAGAAAATTTGACATTCCATTCATTTTTCGCGTTTTTTGGTAAAATGTTAAAATATGTGAAATGAACAGAACAACTTGTTGCATTTGTTTTCATTTATTCTGACATTATTGCCCATAAGGTAGAGGTGTATTTCCTCCTTTCTGACAAAAGCTACCCTACCTTGTATTGTATCATGTTTTTAATTAAGATGGACAATATTATTTATAATTGCATATAAATAGACATGTTATGTACATACGAACATATTTTATAATCCGGACCTGCTGTCAATAAAGTCCAATGTAATAAATATCTTCATTTTTCATCCACATTGTTATTAAGCTTAATCTATAGATGCTACAACTTATATTTATTATATTTATTTTGATGTTTCCAGCCAACTTATAATGGCTGGAAACATCAAAATAATCAACATTTTGTAATTATTGCCCTAAACACATGTTGTACGTACATTTCGAAGGAGGATATTTTCATTTGAATTTTGAAAGCTGAGTGTTGTCGAAAGCAAAATTATGAAAAAATTGGAATTATATACCTGCATGAGACTACCTTGTGTAATTTTGCCATGAATAAATACGTGCCTCATCGAAATATCTGTTTTAGACCAGTTTCTTTGGTACGGATTTCTCTTATAAAACATAAATATTTTCGTAATGACAAGGTATACCAGATGTAAAAATAAAATCTAATCTGACTTGTTCGAATTGTTTCCTCTAAACCGGACTTTAATTTAAAAATGTACGTTCTAAATTTATTTTTGTTTCCGTTCTAATTTAAGGTATAACTATATCCCATTGCATTTCACAACAAACTTCTGTGCCCTGTGAAAAAGGCGGCGTTTAACTGCGGCGAATACAGTTCATGAACGCCGTTAACAAAAAATATTACTAGGCATTGACCTCCACTACACCAAAACTGCGATTCAACGCTTGACAAAGAGAACTCAATTCACGGAAATTTACAGTGATTCAATTTTATATAGAAATAAAACCGAGCAATATAATTATAAATTCATTTAATAAACAGCACAATTGTCATTTGCGGAAACAAGGTAATTGTTTTAACTGCGGATATAATCTTAAAATTTTGTCCAGAATATTCTGAAAAAATATGTTTAACATCAATTGTGGCCTGGGAAAAAAAGTGAATTCGCCCTCTGCTGTGTAAATGACGAAAAAAGTGTTGTATTGGTTGGGTATAAAAATACACAACAATAACAGCAACATTTGAGGCACCATTAGCATATTGTTCAATATATGGGTATAAATAAGATCTATTTTAACCACAATTTTTTCACTCACAATAAAATATTATTTTAAGTACCGGAAAAGATGAATCAATTCTTCATGTTTTTTTTCTTTTCAGAATTTGTGTGATATTCCTCCCTGAGAAAAAACTAATCACAAAAAACTACAAACAAAATGCCTAACATCAAATTGCAATCATCGGACGATGAAATATTCGATACAGATGTACAAATTGCCAAATGTTCCGGCACCATAAAGACCATGTTGGAAGATTGTGGCATGGAAGATGGTGACAATGCCGTTGTGCCTCTGCCCAATGTCAATTCGGCCATTTTGCGTAAGGTTCTGCACTGGGCCAACTATCACAAAGACGATCCCCAACCACCAGAGGACGATGAAAACAAAGAAAAACGTACCGACGACATTTCCTCTTGGGATGCTGATTTCCTCAAGGTTGATCAGGGTACACTGTTCGAATTGATTTTGGCTGCCAATTATCTGGATATTAAGGGCCTGCTGGATGTTACATGTAAGACGGTAGCCAATATGATTAAGGGCAAGACACCCGAAGAGATTCGCAAAACTTTCAATATCAAAAATGATTTTACACCAGCCGAAGAAGAACAAGTGCGTAAGGAGAACGAATGGTGTGAAGAGAAATAATCTGGTGGGCGCACTGCTGACTGTTGTGCTGTGCTGCGTTTGACTTAGTTTTTATGATGAATGCAATTAAATGCTAAAAAAAAACATGAAGGAAAAATATGTAACTACTAATTATATTAAATACCTACGAAGCTATGTCTTTAAAATATCAATTTTGTTTTCTTTTTTACTCGACACTTGTCACACACTCTCATATACCTACATATATACGTTCGTATAAAAAAGAAAAACACCATTTAATAATGTAACGCCAATGTTAAGGAAACGTGAATATGAATGAAGCCAGTCTTTTATGGTTATTGTAAAACACAGATTTTTTGTGCTGAATAAAGGATTTGGTCTCTCTAACATGCACGTTATCTTAACATTTAAGTAATTGTTTATTTAAACAATAAATTATGAAAAAAACCTATCTGAATTATGATATTTGCTTCATTATTACTATTAACTGAATTCGATTCGATTTAAAAAGTAACAATAAATATGTATTGATTTTTAAATTGTCAGTTATTTTCCCTTTTTATTTTCCCTATCGACATGATTTTGATTATTTGGGTATTAAATACTTTCTGGGACTATTGCATATATAAAATATATTCAGTACATGTTGTGGTATATATGGAAAACTCTTCCCTTTTTTGAAAACTATCCTTCTAAAGAAATCTCAACTCTGATTTTTCTCAGTCCGTTACCAAAGAAATTCTATACTAGGATAAAGTCATTAAATATGAACAAAGGAATTTAAAAAAAATCCCACATAACAGGTGTATTAGATATAAAATTATATTCAAATAGAACTGATCGTATTACTAATAAATATGGTGTATTTATGTTGAGTGTCAAATTTAAAGACAAAATTCGCCTTAAAATGTCCAAACATATTGGCGCACATGAAGAAAAAATGCATGGTGAACGATTTTGTCGCCAGAAGATACTAATTAATCTTTCAAAATCCATGATTTGTAGATGTCTTCATAGTATTGGAGAAAGTGCTAAGAAATATAAATTATACAGGAAAATACTTTGAGAAACAATAAAAACCGTTTTTGGTCATAAATATTTAAACTTTTTAAGCCACTTTTTTTTCTTTCCAGTCGCATTTTTATTATTAGGTCACAAATATATAAATATATATTATATATAGAATCCCTCACATCAGTTAAATTAGTCATTTCTGTATTTCCACAATTAGAAATTAAATTTGTTGCCAATGACTTTTTTCAAAATAATTGAAAAAAAAAACTGTATAAAACAGATTAGTATTGTGATTTTATTCAAACCAGTGAGGCATAATCCAAGTTTATTGATTTTTATAAAACAAATATTATTTTGTTTTAGGGATATTGAAAACAAAATACAAATAGTATCCCAAACCAACCGATTTGTAATTATATTATATTGATTTCAATTTCAAACGGATTATTTACATATGAAACATTTCTGAAATTTCTTAATGTCAGCATATAAGTGGAAACAATTGACATAATCTTACGGAATAGCGAAAATCTCTTTGACATTTACATTCAGCATATTAAACCCTGTCGAGTATTCGATAATAGTTTTATGAAATCGGCATCAAGTTTTATATTTAAAAAAAAAAAAAAAAACAATAACTATTAATTCAATTTCTTCATTAAATCTAATTGGAAGCTGGAATATAGATAATAATAAATATAGAATATAGATAACATAGTAATATAAATAATAATAAATAGAGTCATGAATTAAATATATACATATTTTTCGTTTTGTTCAAATACGACTAGTGGAAAACTAATAGGGACTCCAACAAATATTTCTTCAAATCGAGCCTAGAAAATATTTGCGATATTTGCATTATCTTCTGTGAAAATGGTATTAGAAAATGTATACAACCTTTGCAAACGTATCGGTCCTTTTAAAAGATAGGATATACACATTAAAGGTCCACCATCCCTCTTTCATATACGGGCAAAATTTTCGATTTATGTATTTCCGGCATGAATCTATACACAATATTAAGAACATTTTTGTCGAATTCGAACTCAACTATCTTGGTATCGGTTATGCTTCTGCTTCTTTGATTCACAGCTACCCAATGAATCTTATTTGGCTCTCTACTATCCACAACCTGTGTACGGTAACCTAAGGATGAACAAATATTGTTCATTTCTGCTTGGGAAATGGGGGACCCACATATGAAAGTGTACTTATACCGAGACTCAACAATTTGTTTGGTCATCGGCGGTCTAAAATGTTGAAAGCCTACAAATGGATTGACGAAAAATAAAAATGCCATCAAATTCGACCGGGCCGAATATTTAAAAACATCCAACATGGACTTTGAATAAACCTAAAATCGATTGGAATATAACGAAGTACCAACTACAAACACTCAGTTTGGACTTAGGTACTTGAAAATGACGACATGTTTTATAAGGGATTTAACAAAACGTGGACCTATACTGATCATTTTTAGAAGTTACCAACCATATATAATAACAGTCAATTCAATTGAAAATCGTTTATAAAATCCACAAAATATATTGATAATTTTTGATAGGAAAATTTTAAATCCACTGAGATCCCAAAATACAAGTTACACACAATTGATATCCCAATAATTAATATTCCAAAAATATCCAATATTAAAATTTCTCATTGCATGGAGGACATCCGACCAATATGAACAATTTTGGGTAGGGACATTTTCTACCTAATGGGAATCAAAATAATAAAAAAAAAATATGTTATGATCGGCCCGGCCCATCTCTTTATACTCTCCATTATGAGGATTACAATCAAAATATTAGGTTGGGGAAAAATAAATCCATTGTTTTTATAAGAACTATAGGACTTTATTTAACATGCTTCGGAATGTCCGATTTGGGCCAAATATGCATTGTTTTGTTGTATGATCTGTGTCATTTCAAAGGTAACTTCACAATGCCTCTCTCATAGAAGTCCTGCTCTCCATTTAAAAAAAACTCTAGCATTCGATTTTCACAATCCTCCCTAGATTCCATTTTTTTATCATTAAAGAAATTTTGCAATACAAGAAAAAGATGATAATCGCTTGGCGCCAAGTCCGGACTCTATGGCGGATGTATTAAAACTTCCCAACCAAGCTCCCGAAGTTTCTGGCGAGTCACTGCAGATGTGTGTGGCCTAGCATTGTCCTGCTAGGCCACACACATCCTGTTAGCCAATTCTGGTTATTGCTATCTTCAAATAGTCCAGCTTTTGAAGTAGTGATCAGAATATAGCGTTTGGCCATATGTAAGCAACTAATAATAAATAATCCCCTTCCAGATTCACCAAATGCATAAAAGAAACTTCCTGGCCGTTAGTCCTGGTTTGGCCACCTTTTTCGCACAGGGTTATCGTATGTGATCCATGTCTCATCTCCAGTTACCATCCGTTTAAGAAATGGGACTATCTCATTCCGTTTGGTCAAGGCTTCGCAGATGGAAATTTCATCCATTCTATTTATTTTCTGTTATTTGGTGTGGCAGCCATACATCGAGCTTATTTTTGAATCCAGCTTTGTGTAAATGGTTTAAAACAGTTTTATGGTATTTTTTCGATCCTGGGCGATGTTACGACTGCTAAAATGACGATCAACTTCGATCATTTCTACAATTTTATCGACATTTACGACGAAACAATAATGAATTTCTTTTTCCCAACCTAATAGAATCCACTGGCTTATGTTAGGTTACAGAATGTGCGTCTGCCTGTGATTATCCTAAAAGTATCGTCCATTGTGATTATCCTAAAGATGAAAGAAAAAAATGAAGATTTAACCATGTCAATTTCATAGCAAAGCTGCAAATGATTTTGGGGTCTATTTTGGGGAAAAGTGCTGGCGTTTCTATGTCGAATCTCCCTTCGAAATGGGGCAGTTTTTATTTCCTCTTCATCCTCACACAGACGAAAATAATCCACCTCATTAATAACCCATCTGATTCTGCAATGGCTTTTTATGATCCCTATGTTTGACTTTATCTCTTTTCTAATCATAGAAATTAATGATTTATATTTACACTTAGAAATTAATAACCAGATAGATTTTGAGTTCCTATGCCAAGATTCACCATTCCATCTTCTGGTTACTTTCTCTACGTAAACTTGCGGAACAGAACATAAGTTCGAATTCTTTCCTATTAGAAGTATAATCACGTCACGTCACCTACATACATAACAGTCGGGTCATATACCTCTAGAATAAGGTCCTTAGGAGACTATTAATATTGTTTAGTAGTGGATATTTCGGAGCCAACAATATTTCCAAACATTCTAGGAATATTTGCAATATATGACAAAATTTCAAAATTTCTCTAGAGTAATAATTGTTTATGGGGTCATCGCTAATATTTAACATTTTATGGTGGAGTTTATAAAAAAATTCCTATTATTATGAATTATTGCAGTCTGGTAACTTTCCCCCTATTCCCTTCATTGCTTACTCAATCATCTGGCCACATAGACTCGCATGTGTCAAAGTTTCGAAGAGCGAGAGAACTTTTAATTAATTTCAGTTAATTAACAACATCGTGTTGTCTGTCGTCTCATCGCTGGCAAAAAATAACTGTGCGAAAGTGTAAACAAAATAGTATTTTGTGGAAATTATTACCAAAAAGTGATTCAATATAATTTCGAAATGACAAACAATTAAAATTGGAGTGTAATAGAAAAACGAAGAAGAATTTTTGCATAAAGTTTTGGGGAAAAAAGCGCGTGCATATGTCGCCATATTTGCATGCAAAAACAAAAACCGAAGCCGTGACCGCAAAAAAATCCAAACAAATGTTTGTTAATTTGGTACGAATTAAAATGGGCCTAACATAAACACGACCGGCGGTGACCAATTGTGATAATTGGCAATCAATATCGAACGAAGTGAATTGTAAGATATTCATTAAACAATAAACGGGAATTGTAAATATATTAGTAAAAATAGTGACGAATTTATTTAAATAAAGTGAATTTGGATATTGATGACAGACAACAGCAATAATTTGAC